AATCTATGTAATTGCAAAAGTAATTTCAAGAACCTTAATAAAGTACTAGCATGACTGCTTAAGTTTAAAAAAAAAAATATTAATATATACTATAAAATATTATCATTACTGATATTTCAATTATATAAATTATGATTCTTCTAAAGTTTAGTCTAGAGATATGCCTTCATGCAAGATAAATTTAATGAAAAGTAAATTACTACAATCAGTAAATTTTGTATTAGAATTTATCACTAAAAACTGTAATATCATTTTATTTTACTTGCATATTTTAAGGCATATATTACAAAATATACACAATAGTGTACTGCAAAAATTATATTCTATATACCAGACTATAATCAGTAACTTTTTAATATGCGTTCACTTATTGTTACTAGTATGAATATAGTAAATTATTAAATAGCTATGCTAATACATAGTCACAATACATAATAATGAACTACTGAATTGAGCTGATATTTAGTATGAATATAAAATTTTTAATGTGCCATAGATATAAAAATAGTAAATTATTAAATGGTGGTTCTAATATATATGTACATAGTTGCAATGCATAATAATGAACTACTGAATTGAGATGATATTTAGTATAAATATAAAATTTTTAACATATTATAGATATAACGATGGCAAATTATTAATTAAGCCAATATAGAGCAAAATAAAGTGATAAAAAGCCTATACTTTTCTTTAAAACAAAAATTAATAGTAGTCTTATTACCATTATAATTTTGTTTAAGATGGCTAACAAAAAATCTTTATTACAATTATTAATACCTGGTTATATATTAGAAGAATTACATTATGGTTTATTTTGTACAAATTGGTGGTATTTTTCGAAAAGACCAACACAAAATGCTTGTATTTCTTTCTGTATAAATTGTCGAATTTGTGTTTTTTTAAATGATTAAGAATTTATAGTAAGAATTGTTCAAAAAGACCAATATAGAACAAAACCAGATTTTTTATGTAAGTCTGACACACAAAATCAAATTTATAATGCTGCATCTACTGCTATTAATAAAACTTATCAAAAACTTTTTGGTAACAAAACCCATTATTCAGGTCTATCAGTTTTGGGTTTTGATAATGATTATATTGTATCTTAATTGTTGAAAAATATTTCTTATATTTCATTTTATATTAATTACAATAATAAGAGTATTTTAATTGCAAAATTAGATATTTCTGATAATGTTAATTTAAATTTTGCTGGTCTCAGATATCTTTCAATTTTTATACAGAAAATTGGTGAAGAACAAAAACAAATTGTACAATCAATTAATGAATAGTTGTACAATAATGGTTTATTATCATGAAAAAATTTTATCTACTCAAAGTGATAGCATATCTACAAAAGTTTGAAAAAAAATAACATTCTTTAAGATCAAGATGGTTTTTCATTATTTGGCCTTAATGATCTCAAAGTAAAATCTGTATTAGAAAACAAACATATTGCAACTAATTCACTATCTCAATGTTCAGTTACAAAATAAGAAAAAAGTGAAATTATAGATCAAATTTTTAATCACTATTTGTACCAAAAAATTGCTACAACTAATTTAAATTAGAAAAAAATTTTTATTAAATAGAAATTACAAAAAAGTAATATAATTCAATTTCCAGATGCATTAGCATATATTTATCTATCTGATTATATATTTAGTGAGTGTAAATTGTTTGCTTAGAGAGCTATGATGCCTGCTGTTGGTTGTAGTAATATAACACCATTTTTTAAAAATTAAACTGAGGTTAGTATATTTAAACTTATAAGACAAATAATTCTGTTTATATTATTTATTATATTTAATACTGTGGATTAAATTTTGGACTTGTGCAAAAGATCCATCAAGTGATAAAGAAACTCTTTTAAATTTATATAATATGGGATTATTAAAAACTCTATTGGTAGATGAAAATGAATCTGTAAATGAAACAAAATTTTGGAAAAGTTTTAATCAAGCCTTAACAAAAAATATACATAGTAATAATAGAATGCAATGTATTTTATCTATTATAGTAAATGAATTTGGTCCAAAAAAACTACAAAAAAAATTAAAAGTATCATATAACCTTTATTATGCTGCTAAATTTTATGCATATGTAAATGGTCCAGGATGTCCAGCAATTAAAAAACCTAAAATTACAAGATCACATATAACTGATATTCAAGATACACAATTTTTAGCCTTTTTTAATGATAAAAATAATGTTAGTATGAGTTTGCATGCAGTTGATAAAAAAAGTAGATTACTATTATTGTATTTAAAGAATACAAAAAAGGCTTTGTGGAACAAATTTGAAGGAATATATCCTGATAGAATTAAACAAACAGCTTTTATGGCTCGATTAGAAAGTAGAAGATATGTTTATCAAAAAGATCTTGGTGGTCTTTGTAATATATGTAATGATTATGAATATATGATATTTGATGAATTATTAGCTTTGATTAAAGTTAATATTAGTGAACAAGAACTTCAGGTAGGTAATTTTAAATTTATAACTTATGAAAAATTGTTTTTAATTTGTGTTTATAATTTTTTAGTATAAATTTACAAGTCAAATAGAAGATTTATGTAATCATTTAAGAAGAAATTTTGAAAATGAACTTATAGTAAATCAAAATAGTACAATGAAGCATGTATCATATATAAACCATTGTTTATTATATACCTTCAGTAAATATAATGATAATTATAATTATCAATGGATATTATATAATAAATTTTTCCTTCTGTTTAATGAATTAGAAATAGTATTACCCTTAAAGAATCATGAATTGCTTTCAAAATATAAAGAAAAGATTATTTATTTTTGGGCCCATCAAGCACGTAAAACCTATTTAAATATATAATTTTAAGCAGAACTAAAAAATTTGGATAACTAGAGTTCATTAATATTAGCAGATTACAAAATGAAAATTTTGAAAAAAAGAGTATGAGAAACTAAGGCACAATTTTTTGGCAAGTGAGAATGGACTCTACATACCATTTTAGTTTTAATAAAACTAATAATATTCATATTGAAGTTCAAGCTTTTGATCATTGGTCTCTCGATACCAAGCAAGATGCTTGGTTTACAGCATTGTCATTTGATTTAGTATTTGAAACACTTAATCCAAAAGCTAATTGGATACAAATATTTTCAGATAATGGAACCTATTATCATAATTCAGAAATAATAACAATAGTTGCTAATTGGTATTAATGGTATAATATTAAGGTACAGGATTGGTACTTTTTTGAACCCAGAGAAGCCAAATCATTAGTAGATTCTCATTATACTGTGATAAATACTCTAGATATTCCTTTAACTGTGATTTATTTTTTAAATAAAATTTTAATTTGTAATTAGTATTTATTACTATAAATAACTTTTAAATAGATTTCTCATACAATAGCCCAATATATAAGAATAGGATATAATCTTGATTCTGGTAAAAAAATTCAAGAAGCAATTCAAGATCTTAGTGATACTTCAGTTGCAAACCTTGAACCATGTCGTGATAATGTAGCTGTAAAAACTATTAAACAAATTACATTATTTTTTCATTGAAAATGGCCAATATCAGGAGATTTAGCAGGTTTTATAATGGGATGAATGTTGCTACACATTGGTGAATGGAATTTATTTTCATCAGCAGAAATTACAAAATTAACAGATGGTATTATTCATAAACCTGTTACTGGTATGATAGTTCACACACAACCAAAAAACCCTTGAACTATACTAATCCTAGCAGAAAACAGTAAGAAATCTATTTATTATAAATATATAAAATAAAATAAATTTCTAAAATTCTTTATTATATTTATTATTTTAAAAACAGGTGTAAATTATTCCTTTAATCAAAATAAATTCGGTATGAATAATATATATATATTTTTTTCCATTATATGATTCAAATAATCTAATTAATATTTTTACAAATAAAGAAAAATTAAACTATGATAATCTAGATCCTGAAAACTCATATAATTTAACTCAAGAATGGGCTTTAAAAAGTAATCAGAAATTAGGATGACGTGGTGCTGGAAAAAGAATGACAAACAAAGTAAGAACCTATTTGGAAGGGTATTATTTAGCTAAAAATATTAAAAAGACAAATTGAATGTCTGCAATTCAAATGGTATCTGCTCTTCAAGATATAGTTCAGGAAGGAGAATTGAAATTCGATGAAGTACCTACTATTGGCATTGTAGAGAAATGGATCAAACAATATAATCAAATATGGTGACGAACAGCTACTGTAGAAAGAGCTATAAATAACAATACTGAAAAAAAAAGTAACAGTAAGGATGCTAAAACAAATAGCAAAAATAATTCTAATAGAGTAATTGATAAAAATAAAACTGGAATATTTTATTATAAATTTGAAAGTAGTAAAAAAATTAAGATCACCTTCAAAGTAGATAGTATAAATATGAATGTTAACAAGTGACAAAAAAAAGAGCTATAAAAATAATTGAAATGTTATTATTAAGTACACAACTAAGTGCTTCAAAAAAAAATATTAATAGTTGTCAGCAAAATTGGTTCATACTATTGGAAACATATATAATATAGTATTTGCGTTTTATCTAAAAAATATAGTTTTTTTTTTTTTTTTTTAAATATTAAGGTGAGTACTTGCGACCCAGGATTTTATTGATAGTATATTCAACTAATAGTTGCATTACAACCACAGAGAGCAACTATGGAAAGAGTGTACAACTAGCCACTCGTACAACTTTAGTCATTGTCTAATTTAAGTAGTCTGCCTGAAGGTTCTACACT